GTATTGTTAATTTCCACTTGCATAATCCTCTATATTAACTTCTCAGAGTGATAACGGAGCCAAGACAAGCATCTATTAAAGATGAAGTATGAGCAGATTCTTGTCTTGTCCTCAAAAATGGCATGGATCAATGAGTTCCATATGCAATTCCCAATAATTATATTTTTTAAAAGTTTATTCTCAAATCATGGCCTGTCTCACATATCTGAAAAACAATTTATGTTACTAATGAAGGAAGCAATCATTTATAGAACCAGAATTATTCAATCTTAGCCACTGAAGTCAATGGCACTGAAATTAGTTGTGACTCACTTAACTGGTTGGTTTCAATGGGCCAGCTCTAAGCATGACTTAAGTCTGTTCCAAAACACAGTTGCTGTTTCATTCTTTGAAATGTAAGAAACATTTTCAAAAAGTGACCCTCTGCTTCTCACAGATGAGTCATTCTTAGATTTGGAGGCATATCTGGAAAGGAACTTGAGAAAACATTTGAGGTGCTATAATAAGATTTCATATTCTCTAGCCTAATTATCAGCTTCTGAAAATTTAGGATCTTCACAATTAGTGCTTTCTTTCTTTTTTTAAGGTGTTCTGACAGATCTCCTTTGTTTTTAACCTGTTTAATATTAATCCAAATGGATAATGATGTTATCCCTTATATCTGTGTTACTTGGGGTTCCCTAAAGCATTACACTAATTAAAAACACTAGTAAATGATTGACTAAGGTCACTCACTAAAAGTATGCTGTCTAAATATGTTATGGTTCCCTGTCAGAATAACTAAAATAATATTCTCCAAAAAATATGATCTAGTAATGCCACAGATACCTGCCAGTTCCTGGTACTACCCATCATAAAGCTCACAGTATGAATACTTCTTTAATTCACACTTTAAATTAAGCATAACTTTCATAACCCTTAACACAGTATGCCTAACTCAATGTCTATGGTGATAAAATCAAATCACATCTAAATGTTAGTGAGATATAACTTTAACAGAAAAAAGCCTAATTCGATTTTTATTTGCTTAGATGACATTGTCTTTCATTTTCATTTTAATAAAGAGTAACCCATATAATTTTACTCCTGCTCAGTCCTTTGGGTCTACTGAATGTATATCCTGTAGTTATAAAAGACATTTTGTCTAATTGCAGGAAATGGTAAAGCTTTAATATTTAGATAACCCATTTACATTCTTCTAAACTACAAACGATCCTTCCTGGCTTTATAAAATTGTAGGATGAAATATGGTTTCATTAAGATCAATTTGAAATTTATCATGGTCAAGAATAGGCAATGGCATCCATACTTTCAGCTAGATTGAGGGGATTACAGGCAAATAGGGGGTCACACAATGTAGTTTTAAAGCTCTGCAATCATGAAACAATATGCATCAAAAATGCAGTTTTCTGCTTGCAAGCTATATGCTACATTGTTAGTTATATGTTCACAAGATTCAGAACTATACAACCTCTTTCTTTCTTTCTTTCTTTCTTTCTTTCTTTCTTTCTTTCTTTCTTTCTTTCTTTCTTTCTTACTTTCTCTTCCCCCCCCCCTTTTTTTTTTGTGTGTGTGCAAAAGATTGCTTCTCTGCACCATGGCACAGTATGAAGGCCAGAAGAAATATTCTCAGTACACCTGCTATAGATGTCTTTTTACTTCATTGGTAATTCCATCTCAGAAATTTCAACGCAATATTTATCTTAATACCATAACATGAGAGGGATGCTCCCTTTACCTCAAAATTGGTGAAATAACCTCACCCCCTAATAAATGCACCCCCAAAGATCCATTGGGGTGAATTGTGTTCAGCATTTCAATTAGACATGCATGTTTTAATGTATCACTGTGTCTTATGATACTTGGAAGGCCATGATATTTTACATGCAGTCACATCCATTTCATTATAGCAAACCTCCAAGCTTCAGGGGAGTAATATTCCACGGTCATAACTGCTGCAAATTAAAGGGCTGTGGGATTGCTGTGTTTTAGACTGAGATCACAAATAGTACAATGACAGATAAAATCCATAAGGACTCTAATAATCGTTTAGTTGAACATTCTTCAGTCCTTCCAGCCTTTAGGTGCATACCTTTGAAAGTGTTTAGCATCAGAACAGAATCCTTCTCTAAATAAAGGATTAAGAAAATCACATTTGAATGCAGTTTTATGTAACCCCTTTCTCTTTTCAAAATAGGAAAAGTGGCAATGGTTTTCTCTTCCAGAGACCAAGCTGCATCCAAGCATCTTCTTCATGCAGCCCCCACCCCTGCCACCTCCCAGATCCATTATACAAATATTCCTCTCATTTCTTTATTTGCTTCAGAATAGTTCTACAGGCCATGAACTGCTGGATTTTTTTTCCATCCTGAAAAGAGATCTGCATGAATAAAACATGTACAGATCTTCCGCTGGATGGAACGAAGTGAGAATTTGATCACGAGAGATGATATCTGGCAAGGCACTTAGACCCATCCAAATTGGGATCTTTTAAAAAAACACACCATAATCATCATCTTCATTATCTTGCACTTAGAATTGACAAGATCCTGCATTCAGCATCCTACAGCATATGCACAACAAGCCCTGCTCAAACAACCAGCACCAGAAATGTGAAGCCATAATCAGAGCTGAACCTACCTTCCATCATGGTGGCAGAATTGCATTCCTCAATTTCCACAGAGCCTGGGAAATAGTAATAATAACAGTAACAATAACAATAGTACAGGAAACTAGGATCCCAGGGTACCAGATGCTTAATGCAAGCCGTCAAAATTCAGGGCCTGAGATACACGGCTGGTGCAGCTGTCATTGCCAAAAAGAAGGACATGTAAAAATAAATAAAATAAAAATGGATGGAGAGCATGCTAAGGCGAAAGGCAGGCCATAGATGCTGCTGGAGCTGTATCACCTACAGGATCACAGAAGGATGCTGAAGGGAGGGAGGGAGAAAAAGAGAAAAGGAGGGGTGGAGGGAGCTGCTTTAGCTCACAAGCCTGCTGCTAGCATCTCAGCCAATCCCTCCAGCTTTCTATCTCGTCACATGGTAGCTTGCTTGCATCTCCTGACACAATACCCCTGGAGAACACAGGAACCTATTCCCCCCCTCTTTTTTCTTCTTCCCCAGCTTCAGCACACACAGACCCAGAGAGAGAATTTCTGTATCTTGTGATGCATTTCCTCTCTCTCTCTCTTTCAGTGTAATCTTCTTGCAGCATCTGGGTGACCAAAATGAAGGATCACCAAGCCCTGTCAGATTAGCGCACACACACACACACACACACACACAAAGAGTGTGTACTCTGCTGTGAATTCTGCATGTGAACAGGCAGGGAAAGGGTGGTGGAGGAATGGATTGAGAGAGATTTTCTTTTTTGGTTGGCTGGGCTTTGGAAAGAAAAAACTAAAATCACGCCTAAAGCCAAGGCAGATGCCAGGCTAGGAATTCTGCTGGCACAGTTCTGTGCACTGAGAGAGATAGAGATGGAGAGAGAGAGAGAGAGAGAGAGATGTGGAACTGCATTCTTCTAATGTGCAGGGAGCCAGGATGTCAGCCTGCATCCACACTACTGAAATAATCTGAGTTGAAACCACTTTTAACTGCCATGGCTCTTTGCTATGAAATTCTGGGGACTGTTTTGTTGTGGCATCAGAGCTTTGCTTTGTATGCAGCTGTATGTGTCTTTGCTCTGGTGCCACAACAAGCGGCAATCCCCAGAATTCCATAGCATGGAGCCATGGCAGTTAAAGTGGTGTTAAACTGAATTATTTCCACAGTGTGGATGCAGACTGACATCCTGACCTCAGTTATTCCCTCCTCTCTCTCTCTCTTTTCTCTCTCTCTTTCTTTCTGCTCCCCCCATCCTCCATCCCCAGCCACACATCCATCGGCCTGACATCGCATTAGAAACGATGCTCTTCAGAAGTGAAGATGCTCTTCAGAAGTGAAGATGCCAGAGCCGTTCCAGCCAGAGCATCTTCCCCGGCACGCCTGGGAATTCATTTTTGCTGGAAGTGCATCTGTGCCAAGGGCCTTCCAGGAACAAGGAGGGGGAAACAAAAGGCCCACAGACCCCAGGGACCTCCAGATCAGCAGCCTCAGTAATGCAAGAGAGAGGGGGCAGGGAGCACCCAAAGCCCTGGAACCAGTCTGTGGTTGTTTTTCTTTCTTTTTTTGCTACCACACACACACACAATGCAAGGCACACAAGCACCCTCCTAGCAGCAAGCCACAGCATCAGGGGGGTTCCCAGCGTCAGCTGTCTATGCAATGCAATGTCAGCCCTGGGTTTTTTTTACTTTGCTTCCCTCATCATCCATCTTCTTCTGATAAGCCCAGCTTTTCCCCTCTCTCTGAGATTCCCCATAAAGCTACATGCAAGAAGGGAGAAATCTGCCTGTGGCACCATATCTGCTTGCTTAGTTATCTCCATCCAAAATGACACCCATGTTTGAAAAAGTAATGGTTTGAGTATTGGACTAGGATTCTGGAGACCATGTTTTGATTCCTTGCTCGGCCATGGAAACCCACTGGGTTATCTAATACAAGTCATACACTCTCAGCCTCAGAGGGAGGCAAAGGCAAATTCCCTTTGAACAAATCTTGCCAAGAAAAACCCGTGATAGGCCTTCGTAGGATCACCTTAAGTCGGAAACAACTTGAAGGCACACAACAACAACAATGTTTTCTTCAACCGCTGATGCTGTTAATTGCCATCAATTTATGGTGACCCTATAAAAGAAACATCTTCAAGATACCCTTTCCACAGTAGTCCTGCCCAGGTCTTGCAGACTCAGGGTTCTGGCTTCCTTGATTGAGTTCATCTATCTATAATGGGGTGTTCGCCTTCTACCTTTTGCTGTTGTTTTGATTTATGGCAATATTAAGGCAAACCTATCATAGGGTTTTCTTGGCAAGTTTTTTCAGAGGGAGTTTGCCATTACCACCCTCTGAGGCTGAGATAATGTGACCTCTCCAGGGTCACCCGGTGGTTTTTTAATGCTCAAGCAGAGAATCGAACCCTGAACTCCAGAGTTGTAGTCCAACACTCACCACTACACCACACTGTCTCTTCCTTACCAAGCATTATTGTCTTTTCTAGGGAATCATGGCTTCTCATGATATTCCAAAGTACAGCAGTCTCAATTTAGCCATCTTGGCTTCTACAGACTTAATTTACTCTGAGACCCATTTATTTGTCTTTTTAGCAGTTCACAGCATCCGTTGAACTCTCTAGCATATTTCAAATGAGTTGATTTTCTTCCCCTCACCTTTTTTCTTTGTCCAGCTTTCACAACCATACATATAAATTGGAAATACAATGGCATGGACAATTCTGACTTTGGTATTCAATGATATAACTTTACACTTATGGATCTTGTCTAGTTCCTTCATAGTTGCCTTTCCAAACACTGACATTCCTTGGGGGGGGGGGGGACAGAGGGAAAGAGAAAAAATAATTCTTGCTATAGTCAATATTCGTAGCAGAAGAAGTCCTAAGAAATGTAACTGTTGTTTTGGTGCCTGCTCAGAAAGTTTAGATGGAGAGGCTACGTCTAATCTCCTTCTCTTGCTGTACTGAGGTGCCCCTGTTCATGACTGTTTTGGAAAAGCAAATACCTTTGTACTCATTCACCATTACATTAAGATTAGAGGAAGTAAGTGAAGTTAGCATATTTTCCAATTGTTTAAAGCTGATGCATTTTCCCAAAGGCTCTGCTTTGTTAGACTCATTGCTGTGTGGGAATTTCCAGTCACCTGTGCTGTACAGGTGTATTTGTGTTATTAAAAGGTGGAGGAAATAGGTGAAAGCCAGCTTGGTATAGTAGTTTGAACATTGGACTACAACTCTGGCAACTAGGTTCATTCCCTGCTCAGCCACAGAAACCCATTGGGTGATATTGGCTGAGTCACACACTCTTAGCCTCAGAAAATCCTATGATAGGTTCATCTTAGGGTCACCATAAGTCAGAAATGACTTGAAGTTACACAACAACAAGAACAACATAGAACAGAGCTTTAGAATGTGTGTAACCAACTGTATGGATGGCAAGTATATAAGTGTGGTGTAGTGGTTTAATCCTTGGACTATGACTTGACTCTGACATATAGTGACCCTATCATAGAGCTTTCTTGACAAGATTTATTCAGAGGAGATTTGCCATTGCATTCTTCTAAAAATAAAATAATAATAATAATAATAATAAGTTTTATTTCTAACCCGCCCCTCTGCGTCGCAATCGGGGCGGCGTACAACAATTAAAATACAACAGTTAAAACGATCCAAATCCCAATCCCTCCTCCCGCTTCCCTCCCACACCCCTTAAAACAGAATTAAACTTAAATTATTAAAACAATAACAATATGACAATAAAATACAATAAAAACAACAATGCAAACAAGCGGCCAGACAGCAAGAGCTAGAGGGGGAAGAGATCACTGTTCGTCCTCCAAGGAGGGTTATTCCGGGAAGGCCTGCCGGAAGAGATCCGTCTTAACTGCTTTCTTAAAAGCAGTAAGCGTTGTAGTAAGACGTTGCCCAGGGTCACCCAGTAGGGTCTAAGACTGGGTGGGTCTTAGACCCAGTAGGGTCTAAGACTAAGCAGGGATTCCAACTCACACCACTACACCATGCTGGCTCACAAAAATTTGAGGATTCACAATTAATGTCCAGGATCCTGCATCATCAGGCATAGCTAGGATGATAGAGATCCACTATTGTAGCTACTTTTGTAGATGTCATACACACCCCTCAAGCCCTATTTCTTGACCTGGGCATCTCCCAAACCAAAGGATTTCTGTTCTGAAGTACTGTAGATCAAGGCATTGGGAAACATGATTGAAGGACTCTTCCATTTATAGGACACATTGAGATGGGCAGCTGGACAGACCCTCTGAGATCCTGCTGCAGTTGCTTGTCTCAATATGTCAATGACTGAGAAAGTGCTGCAGACATCATTTACCAGCACTCTGATCTGGAGTGCCTCCCTTCAGTTTGTCTATCTTAAGAGGCTTTGGGGGTCATTAACAACCATAAATCCCAAAAGTTTTTGAGATCATGTCCAGTTTATGATATTGTAAATACTGAACAGGATACCTTATTCTTAATTCAGGACCAAGTCCCCTACAGGGTAAGAATTAAGTGAACTTGGCATTTAATGTCCTAGAAAAATTGCCTTGGTTTTTAACCTTGGCATTGGAAGTTCTGGACACTGAAGGCTAAGATGAAAATCAAGTCATTTGAAATGTGGTGCTGGAGAAGAGCTCTGCATATATCATGCCAAAAAGACAAATAAATGGGTCATAGATAAAATCAAGACTGAATTCTCCCTAGAAGTCAAAATGACTAAACTGAGGCTATCGTACTTTGAGCATACCATGAGACATGACTCATTAGAAAAGACAGTAATGTTCAGCAAAGTGGAAGGCAGTAGGAAAAGAGGAAGACTACACTGCAGGTGCATGGACTCAATCAAGGAAGCCACAAGCCTGAGTTTGCAAGACTTTAGCAGGGCTTTTAAATAAAAAGATGTATTTAGAAGACTCTCATTCATAGGGTTGCTATAAGTCAAAGCCAACTTAACAACAATTACAACAATTGGAAGTTACTCTTTGAGTTCCATGCCCTGTAGGCAATAGGGAACATTGGCTCAACATATACAATTCTAATGCTTCTAGGCAGCTGAGTGGTACAAAGCTTTTTGCAATTTGATCTCTTTTCTAAAGAAATACAACACGGATGCAGAAGCATTATTGCACAGGCCCTAGTTAGTTAATCATAGAACTGGAAGTACTACAGAATATATGCTTTACAAAATCTTCACTGGAAATTAACATTCTAGTTCAGAATTAGAGAACCCAGTATCATGTCGATGTTTTTGACTACACCTCTCGTAACCCATGATCATGCTGGCTGGAGATGCTGAAATTTGCCTGAACTGTCTGGGAAACACCATGCATCCATCTCTACCCTAGCAGTTCTCAGTAAGCAAGCCAATTGTTTGTACTAGTTCATTGCCTCTCTTCTAGGCAATAGAAGCTTTTCACCTCTTTGATACAACCTTAAAGAAATGTATTATATTTAATGCACTACTATTTCAAGTTAGTTATCTCACATAGTCATTTATTGAACACAGCAATGCTATGGGATGTTATTGAGACTATAATACCACAGTGAAATTTAACACAGTGAAATGTATACTCAGGACAGGGATGAAAATTATACAGCCCACAGGCAAAATGTGGCCCACAGAGGCTGTTTCTGTGGCCAACAGAAATATCCCTTCCCCCATCCCAAAAAGATGTTCAGCAAAAGGTGGATAGTCACACTCCGTAGGTATCCAATTAGTACAGTTCTCCTACTAAAGGAATACTTTGTTCAGGATCCAAACAGCATTTCTGGAAAACAAGAAGTGACCTTTCAGTCACATCACAGTTTTCCCCAGATGGATAGGTGTTGACTGGAGGGAACTTGCAATAGGAATGGAAAAGAGATTGGTTCTAGCCCTTAGACCTGCCACAGTTGCCCACCTTGTTCTAGAGTGCTCTTTATATAAATCAAGCTGCATTTTAAATGCCCATTAAGAGTTCCTGTTGTACCAAGCCCTTTACACCATCCTCATACATGATATTCACCATCACTCCATCTAGGCAGGCACATGAATGGGCTCATAAGGTCAGAGGAAGGAGCTCTTTGCCCACCTCTGACCACAGGCTAGACACTGAGTAAGTGAGTGAAAAGAAGTAGCCTCCCTGCATCGAGCACAGAAAAGCTACCAGCTGCTACTGGAGGACCAGAATTCTTTCTCCATCATTCTCAGCCAGCCTCCAACAGACTAAAAAAGCTATATGAAATGCAGTGGAATTCACTACCAAGTAGGGATGTAAAGAATACTTGAATTTTTTTTATCCTGTCTTCTTGAGAGATGTGTCTTCTCCTTGACACCCCCCTCAAGAATGTGGTCATCTGATAGAAGAAAATGGACATCTCCTAGCATTCCTTATCATTGGTTGTCTTTGCTAACACTGATGGGACCTGCAGTTCAGCAAAATTGGGAGGACTGCATGATTCCTACCACTTCACTAAAGGCTTAGGAACTAGGAGGGAGATAATAAAATAGCCTTCCAGATTTTTGGGGCATCAACTCCCAGAATCCCTGACCATTGGCCATGCTGGCTTGGATTTCTGGGAGCTGAAGTCCAAAATATCTGGAGGACCAAAAGTTCAGAACCATTGGATTATACTATCTAATCTCATCATTTTTAAAAGTTTATTTCCACCTTCTTCGAAAGCCAAGAAATGTTTTAAAGTTCATTGTGAACAACATTCTAGTTTACTACAAATCACTGCAGATAAGGTCCACCTCTTCATCATTCTCAAAGAGCCAGCCACTCTTTGTTTAAAGCATACAAAGAACTTTTGTTTTTTGTTATTTTCCATAGCTTAAATTTGAAGTGACTTGGTCATCAAAGGCCCTGCTCAGGTCTTGCAAATTCAGGACCATGGGGTCCTTAATTTACTCATTCCATCTGTAGTGCCATCTTCTTCTTTTCCTACAACCTTTTACTTTGCTAAGCATTATTGTCCTTCAGTGAGACTCATGTCTCATTATATGTCTAAAGTACGATAGCCTCAGTTCAGTTATTTTAGCTTCTAGGGAAAGTTCAGGCTTTATTTGCAGTCCATAGTAGCTGCAAAACTCTTTTTCAGGAGCATATTTTAAATGAGTTGATTTTCTTATTTTCTGTTTTCTTCAGCCTCCAGAACTCCCAATAAATAATAGTCTACCATGTGGTGGGCAAAGAGCAGCCTATAAAATGTATACAGACCTTGGAATGCCTAAGTGTGGTCCCTGCAGCCCCCTTGAAGCCCTGCAGTCTCAGGCTAAAAAATGTTATTAAAAATGATTTGGGCTGATAGACAGTGTTGTGAGAAGAGGTCACCCCATATATGGCCTAGCTTCTCAGATCCCAAAAAATTAGCCAGAGAATTGGGATATTCTAGTCTGTACTTCCTGTGTATGCTCATATATAAGTCTAGAAATTTTAATTAAAAAGTCAACCCAGAAAA